ACCAAGCTCACTGGCTCTCTCTTTCTCAAATGTCTCGAAGTACTGATAGATGATTGTGACTGCAAGCAGAATTCCCGTTCCTGAACCAATTGCACCCATGAAATCGGCCAACACTGTCAGAGCACCAATGCACATGCCTCCAAAGGCGGCAGCTGTGGGAATGTATCGGTTCAACTCTTTCTGCAAGTTTGATTCACGATGACCAGGCATCACCATTTGTTGTTCCTGCAAATTAGAAAGGAAGATGTAATTTAGCATGATGCATAGCTGTGTGTATAATACGCAATGCCACAGATTTAAGAGTAGTCAAATGCAGTCCTCAAAGAGGCCTTGGTATGCCCTGACTCTGGGATGGGGTAGCCTCCCCTCCCCCTAAACTTTTCTTCATTAAAAAAAAATAGAATAGTCAAATGCACTATGTATATAAATTGTGAATTTGGTAGGAATATAATTCGAGTGGGATGGGTCTGATCTGGCCACTAAACTCAAGACAAGACCATAAGGTCAAACAAATCGTAAGATATGAGAATACAATGGGTAGGAAAGTTCTGTTAATTGCCTCCATCATATGCTATGATTTTCTCCCTTGATTTAGTCTATATATGTTGTTCCTTCCTTTTGTAGCATTCTTTCTGTCTAAATTGGGTGTGTTTCTGTTTTTACCTCAATGAATGAATAAGATGAAGTATCATTTTCTATTTCATTACCCTCTCTTGGATTAAGAAATCGAAAATTGCAAAGAATTCTTAAATTTATGGCAATAAATAATTTCAGTATTTGGATTTATGTATGTCGAATTTTGTAAATGACAAATTACAGTGAAACGAGAATTCATACTCATTAGAAATTGTGAAATGACGCCTCTTTTGTCGGAAATTAAAATTGGGAATCTCGATCCCCAATTTCCACAAATTTATTTTTTTCTGCTTATCATTTAATAAGTTCCGTGCTTAAGTTGCCAAACAATGAATTACACACATACTATTGGAAGCATTGGTGGCTTGGTGGCTGCTAGTTGTGATTAGCTATTGGTGGTTGTCCCATTTACACGTTTGTTTCCCTTAATTTAGGGTGACTTGATCTTGTTACTTGTAATTATTGCTTTTTTGGCCAAAAATCTGCTTCACTTTAAAGTTAAGCAATTTAAGGTGTTTGGTAAAAATAAAATATCCTGATTATTTTAAAAGCAATGGCGTTTTGACAACAGCTTTTAAAAGCAAACTCTGGGTTACTTTTCAAAGCTGCTTTCAAAAGCAACAGAGATGAGCCTTTAATGGATTTTTTAATTCCTAAAATACCATTATTCATTTTAAAAAATGACACCACCTTCCCTTCCACATCCAACTCTACCACCTCCACCGCCACATTCACCACCTCAAAAACCACTACCACCACCACATCCTCATCCTCCGCCACCACCACCATAACCCCCACCCCCACCTGGTCCACCACCACCACCTCCACCTCCACCTCCACAACTGCCATCCCCACCACCACCACTACCACAACCACCAACTCCACCTTTATCACCACCACCACCACCACCACCACTACCACCACATGATTAGCACATAACACTTTCAACATTATGTCTATTTTAGCCATTATTCACAGTTATAACAGTTTTATATTAAAATTTACCAAATGGTTTTGACCCTACTTTTTGTACTAACAACACTTTAAAAATATTGTTTGCCAAACAAGGAGCTGCTTTACTTTACAGCTAATTATTTTCAAAGCACAGCAGAAACAACTTTTTTTTAAAGTGACAGCAATCCCAAACTGGGCCTTAGACTGGTCAATGGTTCTTAACCTAGCCAGTGGATATTAGCCTTCCCCAGCTCATGCATATATACCTTTGTAATCTTGTAAAGAAGATATAATGAGAAAACATATTCTCCCCATCATTTTCCACACGTACTTTTAACAATCCCCAGAAGAGGTTAAAGAAAATCCTCCATCATCCATCCAAACAAACAGATATATCCAAACAAGATCAGGCTAATCTAGCAACGACATGTGTGCTGCTCTATTTTGGCAACAACGTGTGTGGGAAATCAATGAAAAAACAAGTTAACAAGAGAATTTTGAAAGGAGATACTCTGAAATTATTTGTCTCTCACATAGCCATACTCATACATGAAGACTTAAGAAGGCTTTTCTAGCCCAAAGGCTTTGGAGAGCTCTCACGGTGAAAGGGATTAGTCACTGCTGTCGGCGGTGGACACCCTTGGATCTCATCAAAAAAAAAAAAAGAACAAAAAATAATGGTGGTGATTTTCCTACACTCCTTTTTTTCCCACTTACACTCCCATTCCCTAAATCCTAAAAACTATTTAAAAATAAAAGGGAATGTAAGTGGGCAAAAGGGGAGTGGAAAAATCACCACCCTTATTTTTTTGTTCTTTTGTCAAACTAGGTGGGCCAGAAAAGCAGGGAGTGTAAGTGGACAAAAAATAAACGAAGGAACGGCACAGAATGGTGAAATATTTAAAATACAAAAAATGCTTTTGGTTAATGTAAACATTAAAGAGTTCGTTTTGTACGTCAGACTGTACCGACTAATTTGAGTCAATTGCTACCTTAGTTAAAATTTTACTGCAATGTATCACTTAAGCTAACTCAATTTGTTTTCTCCTCCAAAATGTCGCATGTGTTTCGCATGTCAGATTTTTAAAGGACCGTGTAATAATAATCTTGTAATTAAATAGCCTTTCAAAAAGTATCACATGCAGTTGTTTGAGACGTTCAAGTAGGAAGAATTATACATTGCAACAAAGTTTTAGTTTAGGTAACAAATTGACTAAGCTTTTTCAATGAAAAATAATTACAACAAGACTTTAACCTTCTTATTATAATATGTTTTATGATGTGAGGAGTTGAATGGAGCATCTTTTCTTAATCATGAGTAGACAAATATATGTATAGCATGGTTGTAAGAATTTTCACTCTGCAGGGAGCTAATCCTGAAATTAGGGTTTGACCCATACAAAGCTTGGACCCCTTCCACGTCATCAATCCTGAGGTCCACCTTCATGGTCCTCGGACTCAAACTCGGGTACATCACAGCCTCCTTGACCGAGAAGTGAGCCAGCCCAAGTACATGCCCGATCTCATGGGTCGCTACCGACTCCAAATCAACGGCCGCCTTCGACTTGTCCTTTTTGAAATCAACGGCCCAGGATTCCGCCGCGTCCAATGGAACCTCCCGTTCTCTGGGGAGAAAGCGTGCGCCAGCACCCCAGCACCCCGTCGAACGGCTCCCCATCACCGTGGTCGCCCCGGTAGAACCCGATTTTTATATCTGCAGACTCGTAGGTCTCCGCCTCAGTGAAGTTTACGGGGATCACCGCCGATCCCATGCTATACATCTATTTGTCTACTCATGATTAAGAAAAGATGCTCCATTCAACTCCTCACATCATAAAACATATTATAATAAGAAGGTTAAAGTCTTGTTGTAATTATTTTTCATTGAAAAAGCTTAGTCAATTTGTTACCTAAACTAAAACTTTGTTGCAATGTATAATTCTTCCTACTTGAACGTCTCAAACAACTGCATGTGATACTTTTTGAAAGGCTATTTAATTACAAGACTATTATTACACGGTCCTTTAAAAATCTGACATGCGAAACACATGCGGCATTTTGGAGGAGAAAACAAATTGAGTTAGCTTAAGTGATACATTGCAGTAAAATTTTAACTAAGGTAGCAATTGACTCAAATTAGTCAGTACAGTCTAACGTACAAAACGAACTCTTTAATGTTTACATTAACCAAAAGTATTTTCTAGTATTTTAAATATTTTACCATTCTGTGTCGTTTGCTTTATATATGTAGATAGATTAAATTACTTTGATGCCCTATTGAGTGTTTTGGGCTTTTTTATATGTTTTAGGGGTTGGGTTTGTTGTAGGAACATATAATTTTCAACAAAGGGAGTGTAAGTGGACAAGAGGAGTGAGAACATATAATTTCCAATAAAGAGAGTGTGAAAATTAGCTCCCTAAATTATAGCTTGAGTTAAAAAACAAAGGAACTAGTTGATATATTTGAATATGTACACAAATAAATAATGTCCTTCGTTAGCTGTTTCTTAAATTTTGGGTAAGTACAACAACAATCTTCAGTACCCAAACAACAAAAATTAGTATATTCTAGTTTCACAAAAAAAAAAACAAAAAATACATTAATATGTTACCATACTCTCATCTGAACACAAAAATGTAGCATTTTAATTTAAATATATATATGTAGCTAGAGGGGTATTACCACTCGCACGTGCGAAGGTAGAAACCGAAAGAAAAAGGGCAAAAAAAAAAAAAGTGGGACAAATGATAGAATAATGACAAGATACTCTATCTACAACAGGTTAATATACCCAACGGGCTAATACATCCGCAATAAGGCTATTCCATCATTAACTAGGTATCGAACTCATCACAAATATATTTGAATATATTCAAAAATAAAATCTTATTAAATGAAGACAAATACCACTAAACCAAATGCTAATCAGTAAAAAAAGGTGATTTCCCAAAACTCTTTTGCTTTGCTATGCACAAACAAACAATTTTACTTATTAAGCAGTGCAAACGTCATCAACATGACTCAAGCATAATGCAAATATTCCTCGCAAAAACTAATTTATTATTTTCTTGCCGCCCCAATAATTTCAAATCTAATCCTTTGGTAAGATTCTAGTAGTAACTAACTAAAACAAAATAAATAATAGGATTAATGTGACCCTAGTTCGATATTTTTTCTCTTTTTAACCCTCAATAGGCATCTCAAATAAACTGGTCTAACTAAGATTATTAGTTTATACTTTTGCGTAAAATATATTTTTTTTCTAGCCAGGGGGTCCCATATATTCTCGTTATAAATTGGAGGAACGTATTCGCATCAATGCATGCAAAACTAATCTCCTTGTCTCCCATATTGCTCTTCCTTGTTAAGATCAACTCAATCTTTCTACCTCTCCAAACACCCAAACAAAATGGCTGAGACAGCTCCAGTTCTTGTTAACCACAGGCCTTTTGAACCAAACCCTATCCTCTCCCTTCACTCCATTGACTCATCCATCATCAAACCTCATGATTCCATTGCGGTTGTTGATGATGTTGAGATCCCCACCGTTGATTACTTCATGTTATTCTCTGATGATCTTGATGAACGATCCAAAGCCCTCGAATACATAGGCCATGTCTGCAAGGACTTTTGCTTCTTCTATGTATGCTTGTTTCTTTTCGTTTTGACAGGCTTTTTCTCTGCTTTTATACATATCCTAACTAATGCCAAAACTTCCCTTTTAGTATTTTTAGTTTCGTACTTTAATCATAAAATGAAAATACCAAATAGGGTTACTCGTTTCCTTAATATTTTATTGCTTTTATTTATTTATTCTGTACTTCTTCTATATTTTTATAACTATTTTAACAATATTACAATCTGGGGCCAACGGGATCATGTGCTAATGGCATATGAGTGAGAAAAATAGTGTTATATATTTTGCAAAATTTTTCTTGTCCGATGTTGTAGGAAATGCTCTCTTGTCTAAATTTGGACTATTTAATGACGATTATAGTTTGACAACATAACATTTTATGTTAGAAAGTTTGACCACAAATCTCCAATATCTTTATCAAGTTAAGTTTCTTGCTTATTTCTCTACAAAAATGAACTTAAAGGTTCAATTTCTATTAATTCCGTAATTGATCGGATTAACTCTAATACAAGCCGACATGACCCAAAAATATTAGAGAAAATATGAACTAGTGAAGTTTCAGTTAGATTTCATACCTTGGATCTGAAGTATCAATCCAAGTAGATCCATATAGAGTATTTCCCTAAACTGGAATTGAAATCTTCTTTGACATTGAACATGTGAAATATTTCATTTCATTTCTTCATTTGGCATGCAATATGTTCATTGTTTTTTATTATTATTTGTATGATATTACAAATTGTTATGCTCTGAATTAAGTATTGAACTCATTACATTTCAGCTGGTAAACCATGGCATATCCGATAGTGTGTTTGAGGGTGTTTTCAAAGGAATTTCTGACTTCTTTAATCCAACGGAGATAGAGAGCCGAAAGCAGTACGAGAAAAAGAATCCAACAGATAGAATTCGATGGGGCTTACGATCTTCTCCTGGAGAGAATAGGGAATATCTCAAAATCATTGCGCATCCCCAGTATCACTGCCCTACTAAACCAGCTGGTTTCAGGTATATGATTTAATTTATCTACTATATTAAGATATTCTCTATTATTCGAGTAAATCAATATAAGGAAAATCCAGAAGTAAGATATTTTAACCCTTGTCAAGACAAGGATAAATATGGTCAAGATCCGCAGTGTCGGGCATATTCTAATGGTGCCAGGTAAATTTTTTGTTTTTGTTTTTGTTTTCAACAGTGAGTCCATGGAAGAGTATTTCAAGGGATTGCGAGAGGTAGTACAGGGTTTGGGAAAGGCAGTGTCAAAAGCCTTGGGATTTGAAGAATGCTACATAGAAAAAGCTTTTAAGCTTGGAACGGGCTTTGATGTGTCTGCCATGAACCTCTACCCTCCAAATTTCATATCAAAAGGTTCCATTGGTGTGCCTGACCATACTGACCCTGGCTTCTTTGTTTCACTCATTCAAGATGTGAATGGTGGCCTACAAGTATTTTCCAATTATGGAAACTGCATCAATGTCAATATGCCCCCTAATGCCATTTTTATAAACCTTGGGGACCATCTTGAGGTACAACTCTATCCCTTAATAGTTTGTTATATCTTTACTTATATCTTCATAATGATGTTTTTGTTAAATATAAATTCCCTAATCACTAACAAATACAAGTACTCTACGAATTATATCCAACTTCACTATGAGCGAAATACAATTTTCTTTCGGATAA